CCACCCCACCCCCACCCCGCTGGCAGCATCCACACCTGGATTTCCGGCTCCTCCTTTTGCTAATTCTCCATTCTGCCCTTCAAAAGGCAACCCTCTCAGCAGTTTATCCCAATTTTCTCAAAATATCCAGGATATTGCCAGCTTTGCAGTAGTAAAAAAAAAAATGCACAAATTTAGAGATTTAATTGGCTTTAGTAACCAACTGAGGGATCGCAGCATCCCATCTTGGTGTTGTGAGGCCTCACACAAAATAGAGAGAATGTGTGGGGGTCAGGTTATTAGCAAAAGAAAGATAGTTTTGGGTAAAACCAGCTTGCCTCGGGTGTAGACCACGTGGGCGCCATCAGGGTGCTCCAGATTCCCTTGAGATCCACTTTGGGGAGAGGGCAAAACTGCAGCTAGGCCTGGCACAAATGACTCCACGGAGCTTGCTCCTTTGCTTTTTAAAAATTTTTATTCCTGTTTGGCAAAGAACTGAGGTGTAGGCTAGAGGTGCAGGGGTGAGAGAACTCACCAGTGGGGAGCAGAACAGGCGGATTTACTATAACACGCTGCTAAGGGGGCAGGCTCCTGGCCCACCTCCCAGCCCCCCAGGCCTGGCCTGCGCCCCCCCCAGTGGGGAGCAGAACAGGCGGATTTACTATAACACGCTGCTAAGGGGGCAGGCTCGCGGCCCACCCCCAGGCCCCCCAGGCCTGGCCTGCGCCCCCCTCCCAGTCCCCCATGTCCTGGCCTGGCCTGCGCCCACCTCCCAGCCCCCCACGCCCTGGCCTGGCCTGCGCCCACCTCCCAGCCAACCACGGCCTGGCCTGCACCCACCACCTGCCCTCAGAGGCACTAAAGCCTTAGAAAGCCTCTGGCGGCTTGGAACCCCCTTTATCTGTCTGCCTGAGGGGAGAGCGAACCTGCCCAGAGCTTGCAGGCACTAGCGCCCCAGACTGGGGAGGCAGACTTGAGCCTCGTCTCCCATCTCCCGCCCACTTCCAACAGCAGCAGCCTTCTTTTCTCAACGTTGGTGTCATAATATTGGCTTCTGGGTGCCTCAGGCAGTGAGGCATTGTCAACAGCCTACTTGTGAAAACAGAACTCCCTGATCAATATTCATGGCACCTTCCAGTAATTTGCAGAGTGTGGAAAAATTGGAGTTGCCTCAAGCCCAGCAGAGGTGGAACAAGGGCACTCGCCTCGCTGCTCCTCAGACTATAAACAAGAGCACTAATTCTAATGATCACTTCAGGCTCTGCCTTTGTTTTCAGTCAAAGGTATAGGAAAAGTAATCAACAATAAGTGTTACTCAAGTAACAATTCCTACTTTCCCTCTTACAAATAACAATTTCTACTACCAGTAGTTTCCACTTCACTCTTTCCTGTCTGAACACAGAACAGTGAAGAGGTTGCTCTGAAACAGCAGCAAAACTGTTACCAACAAAATGTGACTGTTTAAACAGGTATGGGATGTCTCTTAAGGATTTCGGGTTTTTCCTTGATATCAAAATGTCTAATAAAAGTAGCCCCAACCTTTTATCAAGTTAAACAGAATCAAAATGCCTATGACAGGCGCCGAGGAAGAAGCGGGATGAAGGTGGATGGGTAAGGGTCATCGGCTGTCAGGGACATCATCGCTGTGAGCAAGCACCCTGCGGGATCAGCAGCATCAGCAGCATCAGTGGGCGGGACCAACGGCTGAGCCTGGAGCCCCTGGTGCAACCTGCACGACCTACCGACCTACCGACCTACCGTTGGAACAGGCCACTCCCTTCAGTAGACTTGTTTAAAGTTCTTGCCTTCCTGTAGGGTAAATGAATTCATCAGACTTTTTCTGCCACTAGCCTCGGTGGCTGGCACCTTCTGTCGACACAGAAGGTGGCTGAGCACGCGGGGAAGGCACGGGGCTGTGTGCCCGACTGTGGACACGTGGAGCATAGGTGTGGGTGTGCGTAAGCTGAGCCTAGAGGCTGGGCTCTAAGGGCGGCGTCCCTCAGAGACCGCTCCGGCTACGAGAGGACGCGTGGCGTGACTGCAGACGAGGCAAGACTAGGGCTGGGAGGCTCCTGCCTGTGGCCCACCCCGCAATCTCCCTGGCCCACGGCCGGGCGTGCCTGTGTACCTGGTTCCCTGAGAGAGCATTAAAGCCTCAACATGCACCAAAGGCTCCAGAACGCTCACTGACTCCCTGAACACACTGTGACCCCGCCCTGTGCTTGCTGGCATGAGACTGACCAGCAAGTTGCAGCTACCTCACAGAACAATCCTGACTTAAAGAACGCCTGTGGTTCTCTCAGGTTGTTAGGGAAGTTCTGTGCCTGTGAAAAATAGTACTTTATTTTCCTGATATGTTTGTCTTAATGTGATCTTTTGTTTCTTTCTGCGAGAATAACCCCCACTTACCCTGTCTGTATAAGCTGGACCCTACTTCAGGAAGGGGCAAAGAAAGCAGCTGGCCGGGATCCTTCTCCCAATGGACTGCTTTCAAATTTGGGCTCCAAAGATAAAATCTTCTTTCCTCCACCTGATGGTGATTACTTTTAAACTTACTTATTTAGTAATTAAATCTAAAATGGAGCCATCTGGGGCCCTCTCTAGTAGCACAACAGGTTAAAGCGCAGCACTATGAAACCAGTCACAGCCACTGCAGCCCGCGTTCGATCGCTGGCCAGGGAGCTGACCCATGTGGCACACAGACCTCCTCTCCTTTCTCCCTGCTGCTCCCCTCAGCAGTGTATTTCAATCAATCTGATTGTTCTGTTCCCACTCAATCTCTGATGAATCCTCGCACCAACTGCCCCCTGCCCCACACCTCTGGCCTATACCCCAGGTCTTGTATGCATAAATAAATAAATCTCTAAAAAATTTATCAAAATAAAATGGAACCATGAAATCAGCTCCTGAATTGACATTATGATTAAAAGCACCCATCATCCATCATTTAAAAAAAAAATTAGAAAAACTGAGTTCAAAGCGTCTGTGTCAAACACTTTTGGGCCTCCTGTTCCAGCAGCAAATGTTGCATGGTTGACAGCATCAACCTTCCTGTCTTGATTCTGCTGCTTTCCTATGCTGGCATGCATCAGCTTCTACAACGGAAAAACTGCAACTCAGGTTTTTCATCAGTGGCAATACCACAAAGAATACAAAAAGGATTTCAATCAGTGAAATAAAGTAGAATGTTCTGGTAATACTGGGCTATACACAAACACTAAAGGCACTGACATTCAACAGTCACTCACCCTGAGTAACAGGGAGATGTGTATTCGTAGAACCCGTCTTTAAATTAGTATGAAGGAGTCTACCTTTTCTAACTCGGTGTCTGTGAAAGTAGATATAACATAATTTCCTTTCTGAAATCGGGAAACAGGGAAATTAAACGATTTGCTCACAAATTCAGGGCAGAGTCAAGAATAGGGGAAAAAACAACTATTTGTTAGTTTTCTGAGATGTCTTCATTAGCCTTCATATTGGCATTTTAGATGTGTGAATATATTTCTCTTCATAGAAATAAACTGCTTCTTTGACTGAATAATTAAATAACAAACAGCAAACCAATTTTATGGCTCATTTTCTCCAACAGATCTGAAGGTATCAGAAGTAATATTTATTGCAATAGGTTACAAGAGAATGGAAACGAGTACTTAGTCTTACAATGTGTTGGAAGCAAGACAAAGTTTACTGACATTGTGAGGACAAAACAACAAAGAAGGAATCAAACAAGATGATCTAGATAAAGGCACAGCATTCCACAACTGCTTCATACTCTGTGCAGTCAATGCCCTCACAGACGGCAGAAGTTAAGCAAATAAGGCTTGCACTAGAAGCTGCATATAATACCATTGATATTATTCTGTCTTATAGCCAAAGTCTAGAAAATTGCCTTTTCCCTATAGAACAAACCTATGTAAGGAAGAGTGTCCTAAGGGGTGAACACACGCGTGCAAATACAGTGTTTCAAAGCTGGCAAAAGATGTTTCTGGGGAGTATGAGCTTTCAGGCGGAAGATATATTCTGCAGGAAGAGCTCCCCAGAGCTTGAGAGCTGGAGTGAAAAGATTTGCAGCCTAACTGATTTTTCACTAGTCCATAGTAATTCTCACTGGGAAGAACTGCTTTAACTTGAAACTAATTACTCTGCTTTGGTTATATGGTTCATGCTGTTAAACTGCAGTTGCTCACACTTGCTTACTATTGAATTTTGTATTGTCAGATAATGCAGCTGAAGAGTGACCTCCACTGGACAGACTGCTCAAGCGACCTTTTAAGAAGCACACTGCTGAGCTGTCTTAGTCTTTCACATTAACCGTACAAAACTGAGTTTATCTGATCAAGCATTACCCATCACTTCTCAAAGTCACACTGAAAACTTTTAAAAGAGGCTTTCAAAACCAGGTATTTAAAAAATCTCCATATAAAAGTCCATTTTTAATACATAAGAACACTTTTCCTTGTAAAAAAAAATCTCACTTTTAAGCCAAAATAAATTATAATTTGTTCTTTGTAATGGCTCAGTGCTTATTTCAAACAAGTGGAACTGTATTTTCTGCCCAAGTTCAGAAATCAGAGAATCTAAAACCAGGTAGTGATCTTTCAATGACATGTGGCAGCCTTGGCATCGTGAACACATCAAGCTTCCCATCCTAGGAATAAAAAACCAATACCCATCATCCCAACTATACAGTTTCATGTTATGTACAGATTAACAGTCGAGGCAATGAAAAATGACAAAAATTTTCAGGAACATATTTCAAAACTCAGCGTGTGAAGTGTAAAGAAACAAAACATTTAATGTACAATCTCTCCCATTTGGCAATGTGTAAATTATACTGAAAGATAAAAACTTATCTACAAATATAACAAAAGGAAAATGTGATTTAAGAAGTGGTCTCAGGTCCATAGTTCTTCGGTTCTTCCAAATTTGTAGATCAGAGTGCTAGAAAGACATGAAAATAAATTGTGAGGAAATATCACAGGGAATCAACCTATATTACAAAGCCATAATAATCAAAACTGTGTGGTACTGAAGCATGAACAGACATACAGACCAGTGGATTCAGGTAGAAAACCCAGATATAAACCCACAGGTTTATGGACAGCTAATCTTTGACAAAGGAGCAAAGAAAATACAGTGGAGCAAAGAAGGTTTGTTCAGCAAACGGTGCTGGGAAAACTGGGAAGCTACATGCAAAAAAAATGAAACTACCTCACACCATACACAAAAATCAACTCAAAGTAGATTAAAGGCCTAGACATAAGAAACCATAAAATACCTGGACGCAAAGATGGGCCAAATGCTATATGACATACACTTCAGCGACATCTTTAAAGATACAGCACCCAATGCAGTAATGGTGAAGGCAAGGATAAATAAATGGGACTACATCAAGTTTAAGAGCTTCTGTACAGCATAAGAGATATTACAAAAGACAGACATCCCAATGATTGGGAAAAAATTTTCTCACACAAACTAGTGATAAAAGATTGATTACAAAGATATACAAAGAACTGATGAAGCACAACAAAAATAAACAACCCCATCAAAAAATGGGCAGAGGAGCTAAAAAGACACTTCTCCAAGGAGGAAATGCAGATGGCCAAGAAGCATATAAAAAAATGTCCAACATCACTTGTAATAAGGGAGATGCAAATTAAAACCACAATGAGATACCACTTCACCCCAGTGAGAATGGCACGTCTTCAAACAACTAGCAACAACAAATGTTGGCGAGGATGTGGAGAAAAAGGAACTCTCCTTTTACTGCTGGTGGGAATGCAAACATACTAGTACAACCACTATGGAAAACTGTTTGGAGGTTCCTCAAACTGCTAAAGATGGAGCTTCCATAGGACCCAGCAATCCCACTCCTAGGTATCTCTACTCAAAAGACACAAAAACACTGATTCAAAAAGATACTTGCACCCCCATGTTTACAGCTGCTTTATTTACAACTGGAAAGACATGGAAACAGCCCAAATGCCCAAAAGTGGATGACGGATTAAAAAGATGTGGTACAGGCCCTCCCTGATGGCGCAGCAGGTTAAAGCACTGCACTAAGAAGCTAAGGCCACTTCTGCATGAGTTCGATCCTTGCCTGCCCCGGAGGAGATCCACATGGTAAGGCAGACCTCTCCTGACCTGCCCGCTGCTCCCCTCAGCAGTGTACTTCATCGATCTGCCTGTTCTGCACCCCACTCTG